GGGACTCCAACCCAGAACCCTCTGGTCCTGGTTCCCCCGGGGACTCCAACCCAGAACCCTCTGGTCCTGGTTCCCCCGGGATTCGAACCCAGAACCCTCTTGCTGCTAACCACCACACCACTGTGCCGCCCTCAAGTCAAATCATAGAAGCAAAATCATAAATGGCTATGGACTAAGTGGGACGGGGGCTGTTCTGGGTGTTCAGAGTTCTTTTGGAGGGGGGGTTGGAGGTCAGGGGTCAGGGGTCAGTCCCCGTTCCTGTCCCCCCCTCCTTTGAAGTGCGTGTCCAGTTCCCGCATCACGGCGGTCCGGCCCAGGCGCTCGTTCCTCCTCCTCTCGGCGACGGCGTCCTCCAGGCTCTGGAAGTCCAGCGCGTGCGCGAGGCGGCGGCGGTGGTCCGGCAGCGCCACCTTGAGCCGGTAGGGCTGCTTCCCGATGCGGATCTCGCCGCCGGTCTTCAGCTCGCGCCGGCCGAAGCGGCACCAGGCCGCGAAGCACTCCGAGTTCCTCCAGCTCAGGTCCCGGTCCCTGAGCCCCACCTGCTCCATGGCGTTCTGGACCACCATGTCCGCGGCCAGAGGCTTGAACTTGTACAGGTCGTTGACCACCCGGCCCCTCCGGCCCCGGCCGGCGTCCGTCAGGAAGCTGTTCTTCACCTGGGCGCGGTGCAGGTGCACCACCTGGAAGTCCCCCACGCACACGGCCCAGTGCGGGACCTGGCCCGCGGCCACGAACTCCACCAGGTCCCCCGGCGCGCACCGGTGGAGCAGCGCCTCCGGGGAGTGGAGCTCCGACAGACCCGCGGAGGGGGTCCTCTCGAACACGCACTCGTCCCGGTGGTACACGGCGCACGCCACCTCCTCGCGCGGGTCGTAGTGCATATCTTCCTGGTTGGGCTCTTTCTCCGATCCATCCCCGTCCCCGGTTCCGCATCCGTCCTCCAGCTCGTCGTCGTCGGTGGAGAATATGTAGGAGACGCCGATCCGCGGGCCCTCGTCCGCGTCCGCGCCCTGGGGGTCCGCGGTGGGCACTTCTGCGTAACTCAGATGCGAAAGTCGGTCCACCTGGTTCCCCATGGCGTAACCAATCCGTGTAACCCGATTCCGAGAGCTCTCACCCGGCCATTTGGAAAAACGAGCCTCCGTCCGGGGTCGGAATTCCCGTTTCCAGTCAAATTACGCACGGCGGCGCGCAGTTACGCGGGGTCCCGGAGCCCCATCAACAAGTGGAGTTGAGGAGAAAAACACAAACTGCTGTCGGAGTAGAGGCGACGGGTCGCGCGCAGCCTCGCGCGCAGCCTCGCGCGCTGCGTCTCCGCGTAAAAAGTTCCGCGATCGGTCCGGACCGGAGCTCCGGTCCCCGGTCCCCGGTGCGCGCGGCTCCGGGAGGCTGTAAGCGCGGGAGTGCGTGCGTGTGGCCGCGCGCGGGCGGATCTGAGGCTCGGCATCAACAGCTCAACCCTCCAGCAGCACGCGGCTGAGACTTTTAAAGCGGAAGTGCGCGTCATTTTCGGCTCTCGCTCCTTCAAATTGCAGCAAAGTTTATCCGAAAAAAAAAAAAGTTTACAAAGCATTTACATTCTCGTATGATGTTTTTTTTCTTCTTTTTGCCATTATAAACGTTTCAAAATGCTCAGAGAGACGGTTTAGGTCACCTGTCTGTCTGAACGGGCTCCATCTGCCGTCATCCGGGGTTTTCCTCCCCCCTGAGAGCGAAACGTCTCCATTATATGTTGTGGTTTGCAGCCTGCCTGGACTCGCCTCCCTTATGGACTATTTTCTCCCCCCACAGGCTGCAGATCTGAGTGTGAAAACGCCCGTCCTGGTAATGGTCCAGACGGATGGAGATGGGGGGGGGGGGGGGTGAAAGCAAATGAGCTCTTAATGTGAAGAAGACTTGAGGACCGAGGCATCGTCTTTCTCCAGTGGATGGGCCGGAATTTGACCCCACTACCTGACCAGGTGCTCACTGGAGGAGTCAAATACCAGACCGGACTGGACTCTATAGGGGTCAGTAAGGCCAAACCCAAAGATAAGGATGTTGTTCAAACTATAAGCTCCGCTCTGCAGAATCATATTAGGTTATTTTATTTATTGTTTATTCTATAGACCAGATGAAATATTTGTCCTTTCTAAGGAAGACTGTGAGTTCAAATCAGGTTTCAAACTACTCCAACGTCTGGATTCTGCTAAATGAGAACTCATTTCTCCCAGACAGCAAAAAGCTTTGCAAGCCTTTACCGAAACTTTTTAAGAATAAGAACTAATTCTGAGGTCAGAAGGATAAAAACCAGAGCTGCTAACGCACAAACATGTGCATCCAGGACTTTATTGATATTCTGGAGGAAAATATCCAGAAAAATTAGCATCAATATAACGATCCTGAACTTAAAACAGGCATAAATTACACAAATATTTTCAGTTTGGATTTATTCTCAAAGCTCAAACGAAGAAAATGAAGGTTCCGTGAAACTTAAATGCTCCAGGGCTCATCAGCTGTGGCCAGCCCCCCCCCCCACCCCCCCACAAATCAGCGTGATGCTAATCGACCCAGTGATGATGCAACATGATTCAAAGGAGGAATATCTGCTTGTAATTTCGGTTCAAATGGAGTAAATCTGATAAAAGCAGCAGAGCAGTTTGCAACAGGCTGTTATAATAATTTCACTCTTCTGTGTTCTTTCATCAGCCTGGTGCCGGTTTTACCCCCCCCCCTCACACAGATGTGTTATTTCTGACAATGGGAGTAAAAAATAACACATCTGTAGAGGAAAATGAGCAGATGTGCCTCAGTTTCTCAGCTTCTCGGTTTCTCGGCGTGGGCTGAAGGTGGTGGGAAATAAACCACCAATTAGGGGCCAATTAGGCCGGGCTCCACCTGTCGGGGGGGGGGGGGGGGGGGCAGCAGCCACAGAGGCTCACCTGAACCTTGTTCACAAAAGAATACGAAAGGAAAAAGAAAACAACCA